TAAATACATACATAGACAATCATCTAGCACATGGTAGTTGCCATTGTTGTTAGATATGCCGTACGATGTGCGCGCGCGCCCGCGTCGCTGCTTCTAATGCTATTGGCATTGCGCGCTCTATTGCAAATGTGCAATACATGTTGTCGACCCAGCACATAGCTAATGATAATTATAATGATATACTATAGGCATATGGGTATGTATGTAATCTAACATGCAGCACCAATGTAATGTGTGTGCGATGATCATCATTATTACTAACGTTAACGCTAGCTAGTGCTTAGCTAGCTAGATAGCTAGCGAGCTTATGTTCGCTCTGTAACAGAGTCTGGTTGGCGGACGGCGCATTCACTATATATGTATGTATGTATGTATGCATGTATGTATGTATGTATGTATGTATGTATGTATGTATGTATGTAAAAAATAAATAAAATAATAATAATGTAATCGGGACATAATTTCGTGTTTAATTTTGAAATTCAATATGTGTGTATGTGCAAAATTTACATAGATTTACATATATTTTCTTTTCAATTTGCTTACACTCTATATATATATATATATATATATATATACAAGAAGAAGAACAAAAAAAAAAAAGAAAAAAAAAAAAGAACAACTAATCTGGTTTTGTTTATTTATGTATAAAATATTATTTTGCGGTTTTTCTATGTATGTAGAGCTAAGCTATATAAGTACATGGCTTCTTGTTTTAGTTAATTATTTATGCATGTGTGTTTATATATATATATATATATATATATATAATAATTAAATTTAAAATAGCTGCATGTTAAAGAGAAGAAAGAGCGAGAAAAAAAAATGTTGTGTATTTTTATTTTTATTTATTTTTATTTTTTTTTCTTTTTTTTTTTTAACGTACCATTGATTTAATTTTATGATTTGTTATTTCTAATATAAGCTAATGTGTAAACAATTTTTAAAAAATAAAGAAATGCAATAAAATTAATCATCATTTATCGGATTTAAATAAATAACGTTAAATAAGTTAAAAAAAAAACAAAAAAAGATTCGTTGAATCATAACATCACAGGAAAAGTTCCATTGCATTCTGCATTCGATTCGATTCGATACGATACGATTCGATTAGACTTGTGGCAAAAACAAATAACACAATTCATTACAATTCAACTCAACTCATATTTATAAATGGTAATGAACGACGTGAGTTAGTGTTTCCCTAACCACAATTGACTCATTTTATATGTTTAACTTAAATCCGTTATGTGGATCGATCTATCATCGTTATAATAAAACTCTTTTTCAGTATTTTTTCTAATCTGTTTGTCCCCCACGCAAAAAACATAATAGACAGTCTTTGAGTTTTTTTTTTTTAATTTTACAGAATCTTAAATTTATGCTCCTTACTATCACTTATCATCTAATGTAGTATATTAATCTATGCGAAAAATGCTTCAGGAATGATATAAGTAACAACTGTATCCGCTCCGTTAAATGTGATTTGCTTTGTCAAAATTACTTTACTTACAAATTTTTTTCCCATTACTTTTTAATATTCTGAAAGCCATTATCCGCACATAGGAGGAGCAACATGAACGCTTTCTTTGTTTTTCCAATTGCAAAAAAAAAAAAAAATGAGTTTAAAAGATCGAACGCTCTCTCTCTCTCTCTCTCTTGCTTAGCATGAGGGTTCGAGTCTATTTGGCGAAAGTTTATTCAAAATGCAAGCGAAACATATCATAACCAGCGACTCTCATTCCCTATTGAATCCAAAGTGATATCTCTACTATAATGCCAGTTGATGAGAAAGTGCTATTGGGACGATACGAGGTTCACTTGAAAACTATTTTGCCTAGGATGCTATACTGCACGGCCTCGTGTGTGCGCTAGAAGAATAGCATATGGCTAAGCGACTTGACGTCAATTAAACTTTGACTGCCCCTCTGGAATATAAGGCTTTATGAAGCATTAACATCTAACTATCACGACAATTACTTTTAAATCTTTCTTTATTATCTGCTTTCTGCATCAAGCTTTCCATCGGCACTTTTCTTATTTTGCAAAACGTGTAATGGGATTATAGTCAGATAAGGCCGAAAATTACAAATTGTTTTCATGTAAAGAGACACTTTTGGAGAATGTTCAAGACGTGAACTGATGTGACCCAAAATTTATAAAATTTAATTCCCTTATTAAAGGTTTCATATTATTCTTGATCTACATTTTCGTTTGTTACCAACAACATACAAAGTTTTACTTTACTTTCCATGAAAACACTTATACGGAATGGAATCCAAAAAAAACAAATCCTTGTGATTTAAATTTGACAGAGAAGGCCATAGGGAAGCTATTACTGTCGCTTAGTGAGAGCGTACCCGATCGCTAAGTGTTATGCTTTTATGTCGCTATAACCGAAAGCAAATTCTACAGCACTTGAGACTCAAACCGGCGAAGACTCACTTAGTAATCGCGATTCTTACCTAATCATCTATTCATGCAGCCATGTTTGGTGAAAGGCCTCATAAAAAACAGACCCTAAACGGTAAAGGTACGTGGTGCAGTTAATATTTAATTATTTTATGGATCAATTTTCACGACGAGCTACTGAATATTACATCCTTTTGCTATATAAAGTCCAAGTTTACGCAGTTACACGGGAAGAGATTAAGAAATTTTGCCTATTCGATCCAAATTTTACCCTTCCCCTGAAATGTTGAAAATTGCAATTTCAAATTAAGGCGCTATAAGGAAAATCGAAGCGGACCGCATATTACTGAATGTCATTCGCAAACTCGATGCAAGAGTTAGTGAGTAAGGATGCATGTAAAGATGTGTGTTGATCGAGATTCTTTGCCTTTAACCGCCTCGAGAAATTAAATATTCGATTGAAAGAAATCTGCTAATTCCTGATTAGTTACTGCAAGGCATAACCGTCCGTCATATACGCCGATGTCTTAAAGAAAGTCATGTTCATGTTAATCCCCCTTGTATATCGACGAAGATTCTTTTGTGAGCATAATATTATTTAATTTACTGAAGACTTCGACAATGGACCCCGCGTGAAACATGTCAAAAATATTTTCCCAAGCCAATTAGAGCAAAATTCGACTTTATCTACTAGCAGCACTTTGAACTTAATTAATCGCTCCTTTCGCAAAATACTATTTTCAAAGTTGACCGACACTGATGGATGGATTTATTTAAAATTTCTTCGAGACAGGGCTGACTGCTGATGAAACAAAGAACTTTTTGTTTCTTTGATCACTTTGATCACTAATCCCGCAAGGCAGTCCATAGTATAGACTATTGCTTACGAGTCTGCCGAAAATTCAGATTTGAATTTTTTTTTTTGCCAAACCCTTTGTTCAATCATAAGTTGTACTTAGCTGCTAATAGAAAATAGTTGCTCTAATAAATTCGGAAAAATCTCCAACGAGCTGTTCTAAAAAGGAGACCTAAGCCTTAAGCCTTTTATGCAGTATTGCTTAAATGTCATTCTTTTACATGCTTAGAACGCACAATATGACAATTAAATAAATGTATTAGCAAGTAAAAATATCGTAGCGGGCCACGGCCATTCATTAAATACCCTACATCACCCCACTGCTATTCACTTAAGATCCTTTCAAAATAAAATATTATATGGTAAGTAGCGGAGAAAATGATCCGATCGGAACTATTTTCAGTAGCGTTCGTTATTGAACCAGAACGCGCGAAAAGGTGGCTCTGCCTGGGATCGTTCTAGGTGTTGCAGTGTGTTCAAAAACAACATAACCATTTAAAATTCGCAAACTCTTCAAAATTTCCCTAAAATTGGCGATCAATCAATCAAACCA